ATCGGCCAGTTTTGCTAGAAGAATTTCGTCCTTTTATAAACTGAAATTCAAATCATGCAACGAAAATGAAGAAATAACCTGTGTCTGGTTCCTTTTCCAGTAATATTTACTCAGCAACTCTTTTCCAATAATACTAAAAAAATTAATATTAGGTTTGTGAAAAAGGATTAGGCCCGTCGTCGAAAATGTCGATAAAATCAGAGAAATGATCGAAGTTGACCGGCATGTTAGCAATCGTAACATCGCCCTGTAGCTAAAAATCAACCATAAAACTGTTTGAATGAGATAGACCCATTTCTTAAACGGATGGTGACTGGAAATGAAAAATGGATCACATACGAAAACCCTGAGCGAAAACGATAGCGGTCAAATAGCGGTGAACTAACGGCCTGGAAGGTTCTGCTATGCATTTGGTGGGACTGGAAGGGGATAATTTATTATGAGTTGCTTCCATATGGCCAAACGCTAAATTCTGATATCTACTGTCAACTACTGGACCGCTTGAAGATAGCAATTGACCAGAAACGGTCAAATTTGCCAACAGGAGAAGTGTCGTGTTCCACCAAGACACATCTACAGTGACTCGCCAGAAAATTCGGCAGCTTGGTTTGAATGTTTTAATGCATCCGCCATACAGTCCGGACTTGGCACCAAGTGATTGTAATATTTTCTTGCATTGCAAAATTTAAAAAATTGGTACCTTGGGAGGATTGTGAAAATCGACAACTAGAGTTTTTTTTTGCAAATGGAGTGCAAGACTTCTATGAGAGAGGCATTATGAAGTTACCTTTAAAATGGCAACAAATCATATAACAAAACGGTGCAAATCGGACATTCCGAAGATGTTAAATAGTCCATATTAAAATAATGTATTTCTTTTTCCCCAACCTAATATATCCAATTCCCTTTGGGTATAGAATCTTCCTACAAAAAATTATTAATATTGGTCCATGTTTCGGGTTAGCCATATAGCAATACCTTCATTCGATATATTGGGGACTTTGGACAAGACATTGAGTACCAAATTTTCCTATTGAGAATTAAAAGCATCCGTCCATAAATTGGTCTAGCTTCCATGTAACGTTACCTATCCACTTACGACATTTTTAGGGTTTTAAAGATAATTTCTTAACAAAGTGGATATAACTTCGCATAATAGATTTGTGAAGACTGAGAAACATATTCATAGACAATATTCAGTATAAGTCCATGTTTAAGGATATTCCTCAAAAAATGTTCCGCCCCATTACCTGTATTTTGGAGGTTTTAGTTGTATTGTCCTGCCAAGTTGACTAAAATTTGGATTCTCGTAGGGTAAAAGCATATATCCAAAATATTTTCTATTTACGTTCATCTTTTAATATAAACACAATAAAAGTTTTGAACTTTAGGATGTACATCACATGGCGAAGGGTATAAAAAGTTTGGCCCGACAGAAATTAATTACGTTTTTTCTTGATTTTATTAAACTTTAATTTCAAAAAATTTATAAGAAACTGTAAATCTTTATGCTAAACCACTTAAGTTATTCTGCAAATTCAAATCAGTATTACAAATTCTAGTATTTTAACACTTTTCGACAAGAAAAGTAATGCTTGGGACCGTAGGTCGCATATTCGGACTTGATCCAGGTTTTGTAAAGATAATAGGTTGTGCAAAGTTTTGTGCAGAAATACCATTCGCATGAGGTTATACAATTAATTTTTACAAGTGGGAAATTTATTGCAGTTGTTCTACAAATGCCTTCTTAACCTCGAACTTCTCATTGAGGTGGTATCGCTGATAACGTAATTACTTCGATTTGTTACAAGAGACATTCGGGTATGAAAGGTTTTTTTGTAAAGAAGCTATAAATAGCTTCTTGGGAGAATATACCAACAAAAAACTATGGGGACTGATGAGGATCAATGGCGAGATCCGAAAATATAATCTTCCCTGTCTTACCCCACGGCGAACATTGCCATACATTCCCCAATAATAATTGTTTTTTTTTTTCAAATGATCTGATAAATAAGTATAATCTTCAAACTGACTGAACATTTATTTAAAAGCTATATTTTAAAACCAATTCTCCCATATCTTCGCTTCGAATAACGTTTTTACCACTTAATTGCAAATTTTATGTAAAATATTGTATTATTTCTATGTTCTGAATACATATTCTCCTTCCTATTTGACCCTCAATAACTTATTTAATTGTATACATAACATATTTGACCATTCGCTTCTAACCATTTCATGAATATACCGTATTTTTTAATAAGGTTGTCACCAAAAAAGTTAAATAACTCTTAGGACCGCAGGACTCCGCAGCTAATTTTTTTTATTCCTTAAATAACACACTTTTCACCACTCAAATAAAAAAAATTAGAGCTAACCTTTTTTAAACTTTTTTTTCTGCTCCACTAATTTCAAAATTTGTTTTATAAATTTGATGAACTAAGTACTACAAGTGTGGGCGACTGTATACACCATATGATATTTTTATACATACAAACTAAAGCGAATCCTAGTCTTTACATCCACAGCAACCAAAATAAACACTTTTATAATAACAGTTAATTTGAATATTCAAATATTTGAGCATCAGAAAAACATACCCATTTTTCGAAAATATGGTAAAAAATCAGTTTATAAATAATTATCAGATTTGAACCTTTGTAGAAACAAAACTACTTAACATATCGATATAAAATTTCATATTTATTCTAATTGGAGTGTTTTCTATCAATCCTCATCAAAAAATTTGTTCTCCGTGGTACTTGGTTTTAACCATTTTTGGCCGCGGTCGTGACACTGTGCGACGTCAATAAAGTTTTGACGAGCTATATTCCCATTATAATCTCATATAATTCATTCACACTCCGCTGTTTTAACTGATTCTGAAATAAGTATGTAGCTTTTCAAACCGTTTGGTGCGCACTATAACTCTTGAAAGGACTTAACGGATTAATCCAAACTTTACACACCGTAATATTTCTTCCAAACCTAAAAAATGTTGGAAAATCAATCATGGTCAATATATTTCTGAAAAATAAATTTAAAATATCATTCACCGCAAAAAGAGTCTCTATTTTGAAAATGTGTATCTTATAATGAGAACGGAGTATCCGACTTGGTAAAACCTCTGCAGGTCGTGATATCTTTGTCAAATTTTCTTTAAGTCTGAAATGGGATTTATAGAACCACTATAGTACCTCCCCCCATAAAGAGCCAATAATTTTGACCATGTGTAGATCGAATACAAATCTAGATCCTATCCCAAGATGCAGCCTATCGGTTCACTCCTTCTGTTAAATCCCCAAAGAAATTAAAACTTTAAATATATCCGAGTTGCCTCCTCTATATATTGTCAACATCTCAACATTTTCTTAATTTTTACTTCTTAGTTTCATAGCCAATGTGCAATTTCAATGTTGCCTAAGCCTGATACCACCAATACATTTCAATAAAAATGTTCCATTTCGACGCTACTCATTAACTCCATAGACCTCCGAAAACCATAGACCAAGGGTATATTTCTGTCGCCAACACCCACTACTATATACCTGGCCGAATACATGGAAATGTCGAAATATACCAATAAAATTTATAAAATATTTGAATATACATATTTTATACATATTTTGGTCTGCTATTCTTATGCCCACAAATGTACAAATAAATACATCAAATACTACATTTATATACTGTACACAACAACAGAAAAAAAAAATAATATTGAATTTGAAAAGTTTTTCAATAGCGTGCGTGACAGCCAACAAGCAACCAACCAACCAGTCAGTCAGAGGCAACAATGATCGCAAGTCTGGTGGCTGACATCGAGTCATTCGGTTTGCCTTATTGTCTGGTAAATGCAAAACATTTATCCATTTCTATGCTTTGTTCGTTTCGTTCGTTCATTCATTTATTCATCCATCCATCCATTGCTGCCGATGGCTGGCTGGTTGACTATCCTCACTTCATACCATATTCAAAATTTTTATGTGGACTCTCAATGATATTCTTCATATTTTAACAAGAGCAATGAGTAGAGTCGCACACCAACACACACGCACACTCATGCATACATACACGCGCATACACTTCAGTAGTTCACATGTACTATAACAATTTTTTTATATACAACTGATTGTTACTTTACTCGACAATGGCAACAACAAAAACAACAACAACAGCAGCACGAACAACAATTACAACCAAACAGCAACGAGGACAATAAAAACAGGAGCAACATTTATGTCGAGGCATAAAGGAGGCAGTTGGTTGGTTCATTTAGCCCACCCCTCCAGTGCTGCTTTCGCTGCTGCTGCCACTGCATTATTATTGATGGTCGTGAACGACGTTGGCAGAGAGAAATAAGGCACGGCAAGGCCAGAGTACAAAAATACGGTAATCAACCCCCATTTTATAGCTGCTGAAGAAGACGACGACAACAACGACGGTGGTGGTGTTTTGATTTTATGTGTAGCCGCTGTTGTTGTTGTTGGCATCTGAGAATTTGTTACTCTGAGTTTTTGGTAGGGCCCTGAGAATGATGATGGTTGGTTGGATGGATGAATGGTTGTTGTAGTTTCTTTTTTTTCTGGGGATTTGTTTGTAACCAACATCAACATTTAAGAAATTTGAATCAGTTGCAAACGAGTTCTCAGTGCGTTGCGACGGCGACCCGAACCCGAAAAATATAATTGCGGTATTAAAAACAAAAAACAAAAGAAAATAAAATTGTAACATTTATAATTTTAAAATTGTTACAAATTATAAAAATTAAAAAAATAACATTAAATATTATTGTGGTGAATTATCATTTGAAAAATAATTTTGAAAAAATAAAAAACAATTTCTTGTGACAAACCCATGGATTAAATAAAATTGAATCGAAAAAATTAAAGTGATTAAAAATAATAACAATTATTTAGTAATGCTTTTAAATAATTTTAAAAATTATTAAAATTGTAACATTAAATAAAAAATAAAATATCTAAAAAACGTAGATAATCCCTTGGTAATTGGGTACGTTGTGGAATTATGAGTTTACCCAGCGGCGTTGATATGCAAAATCTCATGTCTCAACATCCGGTCTTAGGTGCCTTGCCACCTGCATTTTTTCTGCGTGCTGCCTCCGAACGCTATCAGCGTACACCGAAATGTGCCCGTTGCCGTAATCATGGAGTGGTTAGTATTGTTTTATATAAAAAAGTTTTTTTTTTAATTTGACGTCTACATGAGATGGACATTTTTGGAAAACCATAAGGTCACCTAATTGTAGCCACCTACGGAATTATGCAATGCAACAGTGGTTAATGATTTGTTCTTCTTTAACAGAGAGTTAAAAGAGCTAGTCAAAGTTATAGTTATATAATTTGAGTTTTTTATTAGGGAACGGAAATTGAATTTTTTGGTGAAAAGGAAAAACAAAAAAGCCTCCGAGAAACATTTTAAAAATACACGCTTCAAAAGAGTTAAATTCAATTGTTTATGTACAAAATTTTACTTCGTATTCCTGAGTCTGAGATATTTTTTCACTGCTATTGATTTGTTAATGTATCCAAATTAAATAGAGGACTTGATCTGATAAGTATTGCACAAATTTTGATTGATTGATTAAAAATATCGTTCTTCATTGGATAATATAGACATGCGACAGATCACAAAATGTCAGGTCAGGATAAAAGAGGCATCCAAGGAAACATTGAAATGAGTTTTGTTTCTTAAAAAAAATTGATGGATATATTTAAAGAGAAGTTGTTTCTAGTTCGACCAGATTTGAAAAATTGGACATAGAGTCTAAGTTTGGACAAAAATATATCGAAAATCTTCCCCGTAACAATATTTCGATTCGTGGAACAATTTTGCCTTTCAAAAATGAAATCAATTGAATTCAAAGTCCAGCCAATAAGGATTGAAGATGTGACTAAGAAGTCATACAATTCGAAAATTTCTACAAAATCGTTTATTCAAAGATTTCCCTCTTCCCACACAGGAAAGCATATAAACGAAAGACTTCTAAGAGTTCCGAAGCACACAAATTTTCTATAGAAAAAAGTATGGTCTTCTTGTATGCCGGAGTCGATGTTCTGGCGTTGGAAAAAGCAAAACACTAAATAAGCGAAAGTCTCGAGAAAAATCTTAAATTGTATGGGTTTTGAGCAGCGGTATCGTGCCTAAAAATACAATATTCAAAAAAAAAAATTACTGGGAATTTTTTTTTTTATTCAGTCATTGTTTAAGTCCATTTTAGGATGTATATTACTTTATATATTCTATCAAGTTTAAGGGCATTTTACAATATTTTTGAAAAAAAAATGACTTAAATCACTTTCAAAATAAACGACTTGAAGATAATATTATTGATCGGCAAGGAAGTCTTTTACGTTGACTGACGAAAAACCCTCGGTTCGAAGGATATTATTTTGATAACTATAGGTAATATAAAATTTTTAACTGTACCCATTATCCGTTTAAAATGCTTAGGAATTGATTAGATTTTAGAAACTTTGGATATTCTTTATAGAAGCCTCTGGTAAATGCATCGTGTTAAAACAGCGGATTCCAAATCTGTGGATAATTTAAAAAAACGATATAAGGAGTTTCCCACCCATAATAATATTATAGGTTTTGAAACATATAATTTTTCCTATAGAGCTTGAAAATAATGTCTTAAGAATATTCCGTATGAGACTACTTGATTTAGAAACAATATTCCGCATGTATAAATCTAAGTAGATCTAAATAATATAAAAAAAGAATAATACTCACCCAATTATAAAGGTTTTTGGAAGTAAATTCAACAATGTTATTTGAATTTAAGCACATATTTAAACATACTCTACCTGAAATGAAAGAAATGGTGTTAGAAAAAATCCAGACATAGTCAGTTGTAAAGAAAATGAGTAAGGGTAATGATAAGTTTGGCTGGGTCGAAAATATTATTCTTAAATTCTGCCGCATGTCGCGCTATTATATGGGGGCACTGTAGGTGTAGTAGCAATATATATGGAACAATTCAAAGCTCTAATGTGATATGTGGTATCGGACGAATATTTAAGGATATCGGAACGATTTTTTAACTAAATTTTAGGTATTCAATTTTAATACAATTTAATTTCTCACGAAATTTTGCGTTTTTTTATGTCTTTGGTAGTTATTGTGACCAAATTAAATATAACAATATATAACACAATGTGGGTGGATGAAAGCTCTTGGCGAGTATATTATGAACCCAGAAAGACAAATTCGGCATAGATGTCAAGTTTTTGATTTATAGCGTAACGATTTTTTTGCTGGTAACGTTGAAGTTAATAAAGAAACTGCTTTATATGAGGCGTTCAGTGCACTCTTCGGTAAACTCCACTTATTAAAAACCTGTTTATATTTTATATTTATGCATTCTAAATTATAACGTTGAATTCATATTATAAATACATTAGGGAGTTAATCGATGTGTACATCCATCCATCCATTACCTTACGTATATTACAAGTTATTTTTGAAGCGACAGGTTTTCAGTCAAATCGAATGACGGCTGTTGTTTCAAAACGTATCCTCCTTCATTTTCAAATCCATGCCCTTCTTGTTCGTCCTTATTTTCTTGAGCCGTAAACTAAAGACCACTAGAAGAAATTATTTGGAACTCCAAATAATCTACAGAAATGTCGCTCATAAAATGTTCGATCCTTAGAGATAAGAAATCGATATGTATATATTTTCACCGTCCTTTTCCCCTTTGTCTAGATCCTATATGTATAATTTGTAGTTTATGAAGTTACTCGTGCTCACTATGAACTACTCAAAATGCTATAATGTAGACATAATTACTCAGATTTCTAACTGCATCTTAAAAATTTAAATTTTATTTATCACTATTATCAAGGTATACATACATATTTTATAAAATAATTGTTTTATATTTCATATATTTTTTTACTTTTCCAGGTCAGCGCTCTAAAGGGCCACAAGCGCTATTGCAGGTGGCGTGATTGTTTGTGTGCCAAATGTACATTAATTGCGGAACGTCAGCGTGTCATGGCAGCACAGGTGAGTCAATATTTTCGAGATACTATAATTTATAAATCCATTTTTATTGGAAATAGCCGATGTTTACTAAAAATAAAACCTCTTAAACTGTATGGGGATTTTTTCGGGTATTCCGGTTATTGAAGTCCATTCATGTATTTATGCAAAAAAAAAAACTTTCTGAAATTGTCATTTTGGTATGTGTCATCAATGCAAAACTTTATCAGTCCAGAATGAAAAGATTATTATGTGGAATATGGCTAGGAGCTGGCAGCTGTTTAGGGGCTCTTTTTAAAGAGTTGATCAAAAAAGGGAGTCAAATTGAAATTACTCAGGAAATGGGTCCCCGACGGTCCATAGAGCGAAGAATATGGGTTTTTGATTATGACAAAAAAAGTGACACGCGGCATTTCTGGCAATTTTTTTGCGATGTTAGTGCGTCTGATATTTGACATATACGATTTTATAGTGAAATGCTCCAAGAAGACAACTGGAGTGCTTCAAATACTGCACCTCCGTTATATTTTATATACTATTTTATTCAGCCTGATGAGTTCAGAAATTTGAGGTGTTAAAATTATGGGTTATTTTTTAATTTAAAATTTGAATTTTATTTTAATTATTTTTTTACTATCCCGACACTTAAAGTGTCAAAGTCTTGTAAGACATGATAGATATATATCTTTATCACAGAATAAACACACCGTTTAGTATACCGATCGTCATATATCGACTAGGTGAATCGAATGTGTGTCCGTCAGAGTCCATTATAATGTATAAAAAGTATAGACCGCAGTAGTGGATTAATAGCCTCGAAGTTTTGTATATAGGTCCATTTTTAGACAAAGATGAACTTATAGGTTTGTTAGGTTAATATTTAGGATATCAATATAAGATTATATTCAAAATAATATTTCAATATAAGATTATATTGAACAAAAGCTTTATTTTTTGTCTGTTTATGCACAATTATAATATCCAAACACCACGAAATTTTACATGGGGTACGGGAAATGGCCAAATAATTAGTATCTGTCAATATTTAGCTGATGGATTGGACCTTTATTTTTATATCTTTATTTTTTAATAGTTCCCGAAAGGGGATTTGTCAAACAAAAATAATGGGTCAATATTTTGAGAATATTACAATAATTTCATTCAATGAAATTTATTTTTAGGTCGGGTGGGCAAAGTCGGGTGATGTTGATAGTGCATACAAGAGAAGCGGTTGACATCAAAATCATAAAATCACATGGAGGTGACCACAATTTAAACTAAATTTGATTCGCTAGTGATGTTTATTATAATTTTGAAAAAATATAAGTCTTATATATAGTCGGAATTTAGTCTGCATTTCGTCCAAATCTTGTGAATTAACAATAAGTGCTCAACACGTAATGTTTTACATCTTCCGCCAAGATTTCTTCACTTTTGATTAAGATTATCATTCTCATGCATTGATATGGTCCCGTAAAGTATGGTGTCTGCAATGACAAAGTGTTAAATATCCCTCAAAACTTTGAATCTGGACTGCCATTTGGTCTAACTGTCCAAGTACATTTTTTGAATAAGCAAATCAATTGTTTACTTCCCTTTTTTTGAGTTATTCTATAAAAATTGTGCCCTCTTTTCTGTCAATTGTGATCAATATCAATTTTTCGAAGTTTTAATAAAAATATCACTTTGTTGAAATGGTTCATTTCTTTTCAGCTGATTTTATATTTTTATAAAGAGCTTGACAAATTTTCAAACAATCCTCCAACTCTTCGACACCATTACTGTTTGTCTTTAGATGCAAAATAAGCCTTGCTTAGTAACAATTATTTTCTGAGATGACAACAGAAATTGTCTCCAGATGCCCGATCTGTAAAAATACAGTATATGTTAATATTATTTGAAATTCAATTAACGGAATTTCGCCAAGGTTTTGATGTACTTGTGTATTACTTTCTTAATTTTTTTTATTTCAATTCACCAACTTTTTATTTCGAATAGTTAAATTTTTGAACCGAAATTCTTTTTAAACAATTCCAGTATTTCTCTACCTCCTCATTCTTTCAGGTTGCATTGCGTCGCCAACAGGCTCAGGAGGAAAATGAAGCACGTGAGTTGGGTCTGCTCTACACCAATGTACCGCCACGAGTACCATCACAAAATGCTGGCGGTGAGGGGACACCAGCCTCAACAACAACACCTGCATCACAACTCAGTCCCCAGAATACATCGCAAAATGGTGTTTTTCACACGGGTATACCATCGCCACCGAGTGATGGTCTTGATTCCACCTCCAGTGCAGCACATCATCACAGTCGTATGCAATTCAGTAGTAATGGTAGTTCCGGAGGAGGTGGTTGCGGTGGTGGTGGCGGTACAAATTCTGGTGATTCCGATTCTGAAATGCGTATACGGGCCGAAAGACTATCAATGGGTTTCTCACCCGATCGTACAGAGGTTGAAAGTCCTGGTAAGTTAATGTTTTGAAATATTTTTTTTTACCTTTATTTTGTCGTATGTTTTTTAATGGCAACGTTTTTGACTTCAAGAGAGTTGGCAATTATAACAATAAAGTATTCGCGTGTACGAACAAACCGAAATTCTCAAGTGTATGTGCAACACTTGAACCGAATGTAAGAAGTGTGTTGCCAGCCACCAGGCTTTCTCCCTCTTTTGGGTCGATTTTTTCGTTTTTGCTTTGAATTGCAACTTTGTCAAAGCATTTGGGGTTTACATTAAGTCATATTTGCTTTTTTTAAGAAAAGAGCAAAAACTCTTGTCGGCGTTTCTATTGTTGTTGCTTTCGACTATGTGTTGAAAGTGTTACCGGGTATAAATATGTTGTTTTGTTAATAATGTTGTTGTAATTCGTGGCAGTCGCAAGTTAAGTTTAAATGGGGAATATGAAATTTTGTACAGTGGAGAATTTTGGATATTTCCAAGATGGGAATTTTGGAAATTTCAAAAATCAAGATATATTATAAATTGATCAATGTGGGTCCACATTTTAGGGTATCACCCATTTAAAATGGCTCCCCAATTTTCGGCACGTTGGGAACGTTTCGTATTTTGAATTCTCATTAGGCTGCAAATCTTCCTACTAAAAAGGATTAATATATTGGTCCGCTTTTATGTGTAGACCCCAAATGTCGGTATTTTGGGAAGTTTGGACACGTTATTTAACCGAATAAGTGGTATTTTAAAATTTCGGATTCACATTGGGTAGAAAATATCCTTATGAAAAATGAATATTGCACCCACTTTCGTTGTAGCCCCGTATAACAGTTTCCCCCCATTGATCTGAATTTTGAGGAAGTTTTTCAAAAGAATTGGCCCTAATTTAATATTCTGGGATCTCATAAAATCTTCCTACCAAAAATTATCAATATCGCTGAATCTTTTCGAAATTTAGGGGTTCCGTTATATGGGTTTCAATATTACGGGACCCTTAACTTTTGATATTTTAGATTTCAGTCATATTTTGGATAAAGTCCAGCTATGCTTACAATTTTCTTTTCAAATTAAAAAATTATTCACAACCCACTGTGCTGTTGTGAATTATGTGCCCACTCTATCGAACAAAAGATTTTCCACAACAGTTGGCTGGCTGCTTCGCCAAAAGAAAATATTACCGGTGTAGATTTTTACGCTTCTGTAATTTGTTACGCGATCTTTGTAATGTTTGCGGCGACAACATTTACAATGTTGTAATCTTTGTTCTTTTAGTTTCTAACAACACCTATGTGCTTCTTTGACAGATGTAGGATGTGAGTTTGAAAAAATTAACGAAGCTGAAAAACGTTAGTTAAATAAACAATTGTTATACGTGGTTATGTAGACGGAGGGATTCTGGTTGTGGGATATTTAAAATTGCAACAACATTTTACACTCAAAGTACTCCTTAGGTTGGCAACGACCTTAGACCCTTAATATGGATAAATTAAAATTAAAGTTGGCATGCAGTTTGTGGCATATTTATCTTTGAAGTGTTACATTGAGTGACATGTGTGGGGGGTGATGTTAAATTTCCTCGGTTTAATATAGAAATTAAAAAAGAAAATTAATATTTGTAATCTCTTAAATATTCAATATTGTTAGTAAAAAAAATGTAGTCGTTTTTTCCAGTGAATATGAAATTTTAATTCACTAAAGACAGAACTTGACATACGTTACAGCACAGTCAGTAATCATATGAACGTTGCATATTCCAGTCATTATTTAGATCAAGTCGGTCGATATTATATATAAGCTTTATTCAAATATAAAATGAATTGAATACAATTTACTACCTATCAATCGATGTACCACTTATATGAAGTCGGAGAGAGTATTAATCTGAACCGCGTTTCTTCAAATTCAACAGGTCTCGTTCAAATAAAGTAACCGTGCCAAATTTCATCTCATTCGGATAATAATAAATGCGACTCGGATTTTGTTTACAACAATACATGGATAGAGCAGGGGCTATGCCATAATAAATTTTTGATACGAAAACTTGATAACCAATGGAAATCCCATATATAAAATTAAAACCAATTTGGGTAAAAACATGATTGGGTTATTAGTTTTTGAGTTATCGTGCCCGCTATTCGCAAAACCAATGTTGGAGAAAATGCGTTTAAAGTTTGAGAAGTCCTTCAGCCGTTACTTGATGCTGACACAATAAATCGGCTATATCTTCAAGAGTTATTTAGATTTCACATGAAATTTTCTAGGGTCATTCATGAATTAGTGTAGATCCGATTTTAGGTAAATAGTGCACCAAAGTTTCTATATATCTTTCGATTTGCACGAAATTTGGATTTATAAGTATATGAAGAACTCAAAATGTGGCCGAATGCAAATCAAACATACTGAAATCAGTGTAACCTAACATGTGACAAGTTTCGATTAAATTGGTTTAGATTTCGATATTTTGCTTTAAATTTAATTACATAATTTTGTACCTTTATAAGAAGCAACTCTATATCTGACCAAAATTTAGTATAGGTTGCTGAATGACATGTTTAATTTCATGTTAATGGTCCTTCAAAAATTCGACGTCTGTTAGGATTCCATCTGTTGGATATACCCAAAGTGGTGAAGGGTATCATATATTCGGCCCTGTACGACTTTACTACTTTCCTTACTGGTTCTTTCAGTGACGGACTCCTATTCCATACAACCTACACTATTTTCTTCTCTTGTCCAACTTTAAGGAGAACACTATGAATGCTATTGTATCGGACAACATAGAAAACAGGGTTAAAATCCGAGCCGGGCATAAGCTAAATAAAAATATAGGCCACTTTCGTTTTTTAATTTCAAAGCACAGTTAAGTGTTTCATATAGAGAAATCCGACATCACAAATATTATCTAATTCGGTAGTCGATAAGATCTCCAAATTCCACATATAACGAAAAATTTCTGAGAACATATTTTTTTCTTCAAAACATCAAATTTTAATGTTTGGTTGGAAAATACGTCTATAACCTTCTACAGACTTAAAATTCGAGCGTTATTGTTCAATGAGGGCTATAACCAGTCGTGTAGCAATCATAAATATTGAGATATCCATCGTCGATTCAGATTTGTTCGCATTTCAGTAATATATATATAATACCGAAGAATGACTTAGACCTGGAATGGACTTCTTCTATACCTGAAAGGCCTATAGAATAAAATTCATAATATTTTGTCTGAAGAATGTTAAATTACATCATTCCGAACATCTATTATTCCATCTTTAACTAAAGACTTTCTGTCAGATATCCATTTTTGTCAGAGTACATTTTTATAAATCCTCTCCATATGAATAGCGATGGAAACTAATTATCTCCTTTAAGAAACCTATCAATTCTTATGTCGGAATAATTTTGATCGATTTTATTTCCCTAATGGATTTCTTTAAATTACCTTGTCAACACCATTGACTGACTACCAAAACTAAACAAAATCACATTTTTACATCCACAAGCGATACTTTACGAAGTACAACAAAAATATTAAAAAGGTTTCTGATGATTACTTTTCATAATTTTAAAAACAATAACAAAATATTATTTAAACACAAAAACACCAACATCAAACATCATTTTCATGTTTGCTAAGGAATGTCAAGATGTGCTGCTGTTGTTGATTATTGGTTATGCGAACAAAGAAAGTAAACAAAAAAATCAATAAGCATTTTTCCCATCCCTTCACCTTGCAAATGTTTGCTCGACTGTCAGGCTGTCCTCTTCCATGAAAATGAATCACAACTTAATTAAATTTCAAACAAGAAAAAAGTGCTTCACACAAATCAAAAACAGGCTATAAGAGTGACTGAAAAACACAACGCAAAAAAAGAAGACACACTAAAACAAAACAAATAAACAAATATAAAACATTTCGAGTAGAAGATATCGAATGACTGATTTTTTGAAATAAAAAATCAGACACTCACACCGCCACATTTACTGGTCTTAAACGCCATACCAACACCATTGTTATGAGTGCGAGCTACCAGTGTTATGAGAGCGTTACCAAGTTACGCCGGCAAACTAAGTAAACTTCCATATCGCGTCAGGTAACCAAGGCAACTTCGACAGACAATCAGGAATGCCATAAGACAATATTGAACAAAAAATTTGATACTTTATCTCATTGTTTATCTGTTTTGTATTTAATGTTGTTGTGATTAAGTATCCATGTGGAAATAGAGACTGTGTAGCCAAATAAATTTTTTCAAAGTGATTTTATTCAACTTGATTTCCGAATTCTGCAATGTCACGAAGTTTGAAGTGGAAAATTTCTATGATTTCGAATAAAACAATGTTGAAAAATTTCTATAGAAAATCTTTGGATGTCTTCAGAACATTTCTAGAAATTTTCTCTCTATATAGATTCTCAACTGCTTGCATCAAATTTAAGACATAGAAGACCTTAAGAGTTATTTTTTTCTTTAGAAGAACTCAAGAGGCCTTCTGTCTATAGGAGACCTGAAGAGGTTTTCTGTCTATAGAATACGTCTAGGGGACTCCTGTCTGTAAAAGACCTCAAGAGATCGTGTTCTATAGAAGACCTCAATAAATATTCCATCTATAGACAACCTCGAAAAATCGAAAATAGAGGAGGAAAAATAATTTCGACTTGTTTAGGCCTTCTGTTGTCGATGCGGAATTGGCTTTATTTGTTTTTCTCATGCACCTAAATCATTCCCTTTATACAACTCATTAACATTATCCTTCTCTTTCTCTCTCTCTCCTTGCAGGTTCGAAGCGTGCACGTCTCTCCAATGAAACCGATCAAGACACCGGCTCCGAATCCAACCCCAGCAGTCCACGCCAGAAAACCAACAATTATCACAACAACAATGGTAATCTATCGCCTGCCCGTACCGGTCCTCCAAGCTCACCAGAATCCGATTTAGATGTTGATTCAGCGCCCGATGAGGCCACCCCAGAAAATCTCAGCTTGAAAAAAGAAGATTCCACCTCACCGCCACACACACCCTCCGCCGAGAGTATGCATATGTTGCGCAGCTTCAGCAATGGCAACCCTCAAGGTTTTATGCCCTATCATCATACACAATTTTTGGCAGCAGCGGCCGCAAGTGCCCATTCCCATGCAGTGGCTCAACATTCACCACATCATCATCAGCAGCAACAGCAGGCACAACAACAGTCACCCATGATGGGTCATCATGCTGTGGGTGGAGCGGGACCACAACAACCTCATCAACGTTCCCCCGTAGATGTGCTAATGCGTGTCTTTCCCAATCGCCGACGTAGCGATGTGGAACAGCTACTGCAGCGCTATCGTGGTGATGTACTCCAGACAATGGAGGCGATGATATCCGGGGAGGATTTAAATCATTTAATGCCCACATCGGCCCACTCACCACCCAATGTACCACCATCGCCACCGTTTCCTTTGAAATCGGCATTTTCACCATTGGTTCCACCGGCGGCCGTTTTTGGTTCACCCACCCACCGATATCCACCATTTATGCAGGCCCATGCTAAGCGATTTTTGGCAGCACCCTATGCTGGAACTGGTTATCTACCCGGTGTTATAAATCCCGCCGATTGTGAACAATCTGAATCGAATGGTGGTACCTCTGTGGATCGTAACAGTAATGCTGGTGATTCGCAGGATTGAGAAATCGATATGGCCGGTGGTGAAAACAACAACGGCCTTGTGTTTAGACCATTTGAGTAACGCTGGCGTAGAACTCAGAACACGGAAGCAGTGGGAGTAACTGTAACAAAGGAGAGGAGTAAATAATCGAAATTCTAAATGTTAAATAAAAAATATGTAAATTTATTCAAAACCCCTAACCAATGACACATACTTAGTAGGAAAGTCTGTTTTGAGGTTTATAGGAGACCTCAAGTGGTCCTCTGTCTACAGAAGTCCTCAAAGGGTCTTCCATCCATGGACGACCATTAGGGGTATGTATTTTGTATATATAGAAGACCGAGTAGGAAAGTCCGTTAATAGGAGACTTCAAGTGGTACTCTGCCTACAGAAGTCCTCAAAAGGTCTTCCATTCATAGACGAACATTTGAGGTATTTTGTATATATAAAAGACCGAGGACTATCACATAATAATCCTTATATGTATCATAACCAAAATTTGATTTGAAACGAGATTTTTTTCTGTTTAATTTTTAGAATAAAAAAATGCAGGGATTGTAAAAGACAAACAAAATCCCTTGTTATTTGCTAAACCAGGTTTTTACAATGTTAATCATGTTAGAGTGATATATACACAAATTTGTTGCTTTGTAACCTAACAAGAAAACCAAATTAAAAAAAAAAAATAAATAAAAAAACCTAACTCACCTAGTATAACTTCAAAAATACGTACGTAACCACATATAAAAAACAACTGTATCCTGTGTATAATCGTTTTTCTAGAATATAAGGTCTATATATACACCATCCACCCCTTTACCATAAGTATCAAACCAAATTGTAATATAATTCTTCAACAGCCTTAGTAAGCAGCCCCCTCTCTACACCCTAATTCGTATTCAAAGAAGAACCTACACATACATACATATATTGCGATATTTAATCATAGTTATTAATTGTTAAGCCTTAAGTAGTAGATACCTAAAAAAATATTAAGATATACCTAACAAAAACAACAATAAAATAAAATAAATATTATTTGTAAAATATTATATGAAAAATAAATACTGTGTTAAATAAAAATGAATATTATAAAAATATATTGGAATGGATTTTATTTTATTAATTTTTTATTTTTTGCAAATACACAGAAAAATAATTCGAATAGTATATGAATAGTGTTCAAAAAGTGTTAGCAATGTCGGGATTTCTGTATTTTATGAATGCAATTCATAAAACTTTAAATACTGGTTTCTTGTCAGCGAGAGTTAAAGAACAGCTTTGGTGCGTGAGTGTTTGCAGGTGGCGGCAGATTTCTATAGCACAGAAATCCTTTGTCGTTTTATTCATTCATTTTGTATGGTTTCGCTTTTTCTTATTTACTTACATGTTAATTTTCTGTGCCATTAGAACAACCATATTCAATGATAAACATATCGAAATAATTTGGAAAATACATAAGCGAATTTTATAAAGCCAATACAGAGGTGGTAAGAGTGTCTGAAATAAAGAAACAATGGAATGCAAAATTAGTCCTAATCGAGTGAGTTGAAAGACAGTGAAAGCAATAGTCAAATAAACGGTTGGCAAAAGCACAAACACCAAGTAAGGGGAGAGGCGAAGAACGATACCAAAACAAAACATAGCCGAACAATGGATTGTGGTTGTGGTAAAGAGAGAGCGAGATAGAGGAAAATTAGCGCAAATAGTGGTAAAGTAGAGCGAAGTAGGAAAGTAGTTGTGATATTAATGAAATGTTTACATTTTAACAGTGACTTTCTCATTATTATAAGATTTTTTACATGCGAGGAACATGTAAAATATGGAAAAAATTACTATTTTTATTATTTGAATTTTACCTGTAAGGGTGATCATTTGAATGCATTTTTACGTAAGTTATTTATTTGCTCTTTCGAGTCATGCTTAATGATCTCAGTTTAGCAATGAAAAGGAAAGCTAGGAGAAGAACAAACGCGACGCGTTTCACCGTTGGTCATGTGGGTCGGTTCTTTTTATGTGGGGAATAGTTAAAACATACACATACCTTGTAAAAAACCAAGATTATCTTTATCCTCTGAGAAAACTAATGGTTGGAACTTTTATTAGGATGTTTTACATTTGACAGATATTGGATTTTGAAAGACTTTTGCTAGTTGGGAACATGTCATAAATTATTGTTTTAGACCATCTGCATAGACAAGTTATCTGTACGACAGCTTTTGTGTAGTGGACTTCCTCGAAGACGGGTCAACGAAACTGGTGTTGTGTTTTTATACTTATTAACTATATGTGATATTGAACTTCTTGGGACATTATATTCTTCATCTCTCATAGTGATATTCCGATCGTATAATCGCCAACAATGAGTTTTTCTTGTTGTCCACAATGCATTCTGTTGACCCCAAATGTATCGATTGTCATTTCTATTTGGTTGTTTGTGTTGGACGTATATTAATTTTTATAATACATATCTAATAAAAAAAAAATAATATACGCTCACAAATTACCTCTTAACACTCAAGAATACTAAAACTTTGCGAAAAATATAAAATATGATACCTAAAATAATGGTATTTTTAAATTCGTCAGAGTTGCATATGTTTTAGCCCATCTAAAATCGAGTTATCCATTTTATCAATCAATTTTACAGCAAAATATCAAATATTACAATTACAGTTTCAGTTGAACCTAAAGCGTTTAAAAAAGTATATATATATATATATATATATATATATATCTGTTGTACTTCCTATTAATCCGGTTTTCCGCTGACTCATACGTTTCCAGATTCAAAAAAAATGTAATATGGATCGGTTGAGTTCAAAGATATTCCGGAGACAGATGAGTACGTTGCGGCAGCTGGACCATCATAATCTTAAGTTTGCTAAAACCACTCTTATTTGTTTAGGCAGCTATCGTTCTTCTGTTGTAGTAGGTGGTGGGTGCACTCCACCTAACTCTTGGATCTAACACTCTCTCTCTAGATGGTGATCTCTCCTTACGTGGGTGACGAATCCCATTAGTGTGGTGATGACATAGATGTTTCCCAAACAGGTAATACGTAAACAACATCCTTTTATGTCGATGTACGGGTATAATCATCACCTCCTTATGTAAACTCATCACTGGTGTCATTAGAAGGCACCCGGGTGCACTTCCCTGGATGGTAATCTGAAAGGTTTGAATATTCAACTGTGCATATCGCATACCAAATTGGTGCTACCGACTGAACAATTGATTTGTAGCAGTTTAACAAGGTTTCTCTATCAGCACCCCAAGAGATGCCGACAGCTCTACTCCTGATCTTATCACAAATATATGTGACTTCCGAAAAATAAAGGTTAAATACCTCCGAAGATAAAGACCATTCCTTGGGGAACTCCATATTTCATTCTACGGGTTTTGGACATATGTAATTGATTGGCCAAACTTTGAACTAGTTTGAAGTCCGAAGTTTGGCCAGCTCTATATCCTCGAAAAGCTTAGTGTGGTATCGAAGCCTTTAAATAATTCAAGAGCCACCAAAAATTTTCTATCACACATCCAGTTGTTGCTAAGTCTTCTGCATATGACCCGTAATGTTGTTATTGTGTTGCGCATCTTCCGAAATCCATGTTAGTGTTGGGCAACTGGGAACCTATTTCTTGTGGTGTTTCCTCATCGGCTCGGAGAACTCTTATACGACGGATCACACTCTGTTTCGCATTGATACATTCGATATGATCTATAAAAGTGCGATTAAAAAACTCGTCGGATCTATGACCGATCTATCACCATTCCCTCTAGAATTCTAGAGTGTCTTAACCGTTGCCCACAATTTACTTGTTGTGGCACAAATATTGCAAAGTTTCTGGTGATCTAGCCACATTTTCCACTAATACTCGCATACTAATCTATTGACTTCATGGCTCTTTAAGAGGTAGTATGATCGGGGGGAAACGTGGGTTGTCATATTACCTTATTTATCAGACCACGGCTACGCATTAACCGTGCAAACATGGAGCTACCACATCCCAGGATATAATGCTTCTCACATATGAGATAAGTAGACCACTAGAACATCCAAGTCCCAAAAATTCCACGTGATTCGGAAGAGTGCAAATCTGATTCTGATATGAACTAGGATAATATTTTTTTTTTTTTTTTTTGAAATTTTCATTTTTTACCACAAACCAAGCTGGAAAATGGGGAAGATCTTGACCGCTTACAGTTATCGTATTTCATAAGATAGCTATGTATGTACAGAATAACGTGTTAAAATTTGGAACCAATTGCATTATTATTTTTTGAGTTATAGTGCCCGCGAATTGTAAAAAAAAAAACTGTTTCCAGTAAAACACATTAAAGTGTTGAGAAACGTTCTCGCTGCCACCTGCCCCTTTCACTATAAATAATTTATATTTTCAATAGTTTTTGAAATTTTCTCAAGTGAGAAGTTATAAATTCAAAGTAAATAAAAAATCCCTTAATCAAGTTCACGGATAATCAAGGCCCGACTGTATTAATTCTGGCAAATCATAAGATTTGAAATGGAAAAAGGGATTATCGACATAAATTATGGTTTCTCATTAAACAGAACCATTTTTAATTCACTTTAATTTTATTTCATATTAAAAGCTCACACATTTTTCAAATTTTATCATTCCATCAAAATTCGAATTTGAATTGAAAAACTTTGCAAAAAATATTCACACGACAATTTTTCCATGTTGACATTTTAATAAGATAAAAACAATAACAAAACCGAATGGGAAATTGTGTGAAAGATATCAATGACAATTGGACGACAAAACCAATGATCCAGCAGCATCGAATGACTGACGCCTGGTCGAGGCAAAACAAAAGCCAGGCATCATTGGCAAACGACCTCATTGCCCACACAAATATCGACCATTACATACGAAACGATAGACGCCATCAGGGGACCGCATCGTATTATTTGTAATTTTATAAATGAGTTGCCAAATTATAATCCCAACAAAAATAAATTTATAATTATTCGGGACAAAGAAGGGCCTGTTTTGACCATACACAAAATAAAAATCCATAAACACACTCGAAGGCAAACAATGCGAGGGCAAACGACCAAACAAAGG